AGGTTTGACATCAAGCCAACAATATTATGTTTGATCTTTATTCCTAAGCTTCGTGTAAGTAACCTCTTATGATTTGATTAATATTTGTATTCCATTTCCAGCGTGACACATATTCTTATCATTTCCTTTTTATGCTTTCAGTATTTTTTCTTACGAGTACCTCACCACTGATTAATAAATAACCGTTTGCTTGTCTGGAGCAATTTCTTTTTACCAAACTTTGTGCATGATATTATTCACATTTTTTTCCAGGTTTTTGCGGGTTTTTGTAATGATATGATAATCAGAATATTCAGTGACTCTAAGCATTGCATGTCAGAGATTACATCAGCACTGTGTCTTACTACAATTCTATGGTGAGTACGGCTGTTAGTTTGTTGCGCTGCATATACTGTTGTCAGTCCCATGCGATGTATACCAAATTTTGTCTACGTGAAATATAAGTGTGTGTTGCAAGGTGTGAAGCACATATATTGTATTTGCTCTATTAGAAGCGCAACTCCAATAGAAGTACATTTTGTATACATATCATATTTACCCAACTAGAAGTGCTTCCCCAACCAAAACACATGCACCGTATAATCTCTTGTTAAAGTGTCACTCTAATTCAGGCATCAGGGAAAAGTGAAATTTGTTTTTAACAATTACAGTCAATCAATAAAATTCGTTTACATGATGACAAAAATACATTGTGTATTTAATGTAATATGCATTTATTTTTTTTAATTTTGTTGGTAATGAAAAGTATTTTCTAGAAGAAGTTTCAAATAAAAATGCATTGCTTAGTAGCAAATGATCATAGTAGCGCGATCCGGTCATGCTACATTTGACAAGCGAATAACTCAAAGTGTTGCAATTAGTCATTATTACTCAGTAGAGATTATAATAACATACAAAAAAATAAATTTGTTGAATTGTTATGAAATGCAAGTAAAATTTAACTTAGTTTCATTATAAAAGAAGCAATGTGTGTGAGAAGCACAAATATCATATTTGCTCTATTAGAAGTGCATTTAAACCTAAAACTGCATTTGATATTTGTTTAAATCATTAAAAATACAACTTCTTTTGAATATAGATAGAAATTTCTAATTTATGTAAGCGTATGCTCAACTTATAGCATGTATGTATGGGGGTCTAAAAACTACCTCTGCGACGCGATTGTGCGATTCGCCGAATGTCGATTATTGCACTCTGCGAAGAGCACGATTCCTATTGGTTGGTTGGTCGAAAAGCCTGAATCCCAATGGTCGATGTTCATCGCAGGCCTTATAAAAAATTAAGTTTTAAATGGTAAAAAAGGTACGGTAAAAAAAGTGTGTAAACACTATGTACCAGCGACATGCCGCACTGTTCGGTGATCGGCAAGCACATGGAAGACAAATTGTGGGACCAAACAAATGACACATGGTTTACGGTTTTTAGACGCATCACACCGCTGGCTAGAAAAATTTAATAGTGCACGTTGGTTTTGACTGCCTATTTACGGTATAACGTTATCGCCATCTTGGAGTTGTAAGGCTTCGTTCCAACGACTATGCTCTCTAGCATAGGCGGCAGCTTCAAAGCGAGTGGAACGCAAAGTACTTTTCACGCGTTCTGCAATGAATGTTGTACGTCTGCTTTGACTTTGTTGAGTGCCTCTAGGAAAATAATTTGCATGCTGTGAAGAAAAAATCATTCACGACGTGCAACGTTTTGCCATGACAACAGTTGTTTGCAATCGTCTGCCTTCGTTTAGATCATAAATGGACTCAAAACTTGTGGTCTATGATCGATCAGCTGGTATTTTAACCACCAGAAATGAAATACTTTGTAACAGTTGTGAAAAGTAAACAAAAACGGCGTTGGTTTGTGGTATGAATGTAATTATTTTTGTATCATAATTTTTGAAGTCAGTATTACTGAAAATTATGGTTTATTTATTTAAATCAACGCCAAATTTCGGTGGTCCATATTGATCTTAATGTAGCGGGAAGGGAAATTCTTTTTTTTCTTGATTTTTCAATAATTGATAAAACGGTTACTTTGTACCTTGATTCATCATCCCAGCTTTTCGAAATTTCGGAAAGACCAGTGCTCAAACGCTAACGCTACTACCGTTTCGTTAATATTTGCATAATGTTTATACCATGTATATGTATACTACCAGTAATACTCTGTTGTTGACGATTCTGATAGAACGGGTGACAAGCTTCCT